ACCCCGAGCATCCTCACTGCAGGGACTCATCAGCATCCATCCTCATTACTGGGACCTGGAGGGATCTGGTTGTGTTAATTAAACACTTGTCATCACCAAGCTGTGAAGTTCAGCATTAACACCGTGTCCATGCGACCTAGATATGGGAATTACCACTGCAACCCTCCCACTGCATCCCCCCACCCAGAACAGATCCAGGAAAGGGCGGTGCACGCCAACCCAGCTCCCAATCCAGCCCTGAGCACCCACAGCCAGGCTGGGAATAAGAGGTTCTGGAAGTAAATGGGCACTGGGAATGGCACCCCAGAGCCCTGCCTCGCTCAGCCAAATCCGGCCTTGCTCAGGTTTTAAGGGAGAGGCTGCAGCTCTGTAATGTGCTGCGGACACAGCCAGAGTGCCCAGGCAGGCAGTGGGTGATGGGCCAGAGCCTGCTCCCACCCCTGGGCACTGCCAACAGCACACGGCCCCTGCGTGGGGACAGGGATGATGGTAGGGGCATGCTGCGGGTACCTCCAGAGCCCCTCATTCCCATGGCTGGTCCCTAGAGGGACCTCATGCCACCATGGAGTTCACGACAGAAGCCAGGCAAGGCTTGGCCCCATGCACATCGGGGACAGCAGATGAGGGGTGATCAATATTCCAGATGTTATTTCTCTGCTTTTGCCCCACTCTCCGCACGCTGAGGGTTCCCCCAGCTAGCAGCTCCCTGCACCAGTGGGAGCGGGCAATCTCCATCTCTGCCCTTGGTGCATTAGCCAACCCCTGACCCGGGTGCTGCGGCATCAGGAATGTCGAAACCCCTCCCGCAGAGCTGTCCCAGCCGCCCTCGCAGCCGCTCAGCCCCTCGGGGGACGCGGCGCCTTTAAGAGCCCAGTGGCGCCAATTCCGTCCCACGTGACCTCTACCGACCGCCTCGGTGGGCGGGGTTTCGGCGCGCGGGCTCCCGCCAAGGGAGAGCTTTGCGCGGGACCGAACCCACGTGTTCCCGGGACCAGCACCGGGACCCGCCACCGGGATCGGCACCGGCACCGGGGGCGCAGCCATGGCCCAGCTCCGCATCACCAACTTTTTCGGCCAGACAAAAGCGGCCACTGGAGTCCCGGCCAAGCGCGACGGCAGCCGCCGGCTCAAGGCCGCCCTAGCTGGTGCTCCGGTGGCCCGGGAGGAGGAGGATGATGGTGCCCCGGCGGGGCTCAGCGTCCTCCCACCGCCGCCGCTCCGCTCGCCGCGCACCCCGGCCCGCGGGAGCTCCCCGGCTGTTCGGGGGCTGGCGGGGAGGAAGAGGAGCCGCCAGGACATGGAAGCGGAATCGCCGGTCGGAGCCCGGTTCGGGGAACCGAGCGGGAAGTCGGCGCGGAAGAGGCTGGAGCCACTCCGGGATGCGGAACCGGGGTCTCCGGGCGCGGTAGGGAGATGGGGAGATTGGCGATGCGCTGCTTCCTCCGGGATGCGGCTCTAAAATGGGGATGGGAGAGGATAAGGGGAGGAGGGGAGTGGGTGGGTGGGGAACTATAAATCAACAGTCCCCCACAGTGTTTGACCCCTTTTCCTAGTGCAGGACCCCCAAACCTGCTGCCCATTCTCTAGATGCAGATCTCTCCCCAACCCCAGCCTTGCTCCCTGCCCCTCGTGCAGAACCCTCAGGGTTTGACCCCCATTCTCCTGGTGCAGACTCCCCCCTCACCCTGTCTTGCAGGACCCCCAAAACTTGCCCCCTTCTCTTGATACAGACCCTCCCCGCCCCGACTTGCCCCTGCCCCTAGTGCAGAACCCCCTATGGCTCCCCCTTCCACTGCAGGGCTTTGCGGGGTCACTGGGAAGGGGGGCCAGGCGGGTAGTTTCCTAAGGCAGCCTCTAACTCCTCTCTCTCTTGCAGGCCACCAACCTCTCTTCTCTGGCCACTGCTCAACCCCTGACACCGTCCTCGCAGGACCTGGCAGTGCCCCTTCCGACCAGCCCCGGCTCACAGCAGGACATGGAGACACCACCCTGCCCAGCCCCAGCCCCCCTGGGTTCAGCCCGGCGCCTGCAGCGGGTACAGGGCGATCCTGGCTCTCTGCTCCCATTGGGGTGGATTTGGTGCTGTGACCTGCTGTGACCCTGTGTTCCCTCCCTACCCAGGAGGATGTGGCCGAGCTGCGGGGCCGCCTGCAGAGGATGAAGGAGCTGTCCCAGCTGCCATCTGTGCCCAGCAGGACCAACACAGACCTGCGGGGCCGCCTGGAGCAAGTGCGGCAGCTGGAGCTGCGGATCCGGCAGAGGAAGGCGGGAAGCGAAGCCACAGCGGGAGCACAGCCATCCAGGGACACTGGAGCAGCAGCTCCTGCGGCAGAGACCAGGTGAGG